GGGAGCAGATTGGAAACTAGTTAAGCATTGAACACTTAATGGGCCAAAAGCCCATTTCGAGCTRSGYTGATATGATCACCCATCTATGGGGYGGATCTGAGATTAATGTTAGCAAAAGGATTGGGCCTTTAACCTTATCCACTCTGGGAGACCAAATTCAAATCAGATTTGAATCTAGTAACCTCCTGATAAGATCAAGAGTAAGCTAACTTAATCTGGAGATAGGATTAAGATAATCCCCTATCCAAATAGTGATTTGGATTGGGATAACTCCTAATTTAGGAGATTTTCTTAATCAAGAAGAAAAGAGGAGAAACCCTAAGAGAGAAAAGAGATTTTCGAACCAAGGGTTCAAGCAAAAAGAAAGCATCCTGCGAACTGAGATTAGGTCTCATACACACTCTAGAGAGAAGAAAAGCAATTCAGCCATCTTCGTCCTAGGAGTTCTCCTCCAGCTGCCGCCATTCACTATTGCAAGATTCGATCTTTGCAGAAGAAAGAAATCAAGAAATCAATTCTTGACATCAATCTTGCAGAAAAGACTGAAAAAGATTTGGTGCTTAGAGTTTCTAGAGGGTTCTTGAGAAGGATCCAGTGTGTAGGACGCACTCTGCTGGTTCCGTTCCACCTACAGCTGTGTCATCTTCAGCGAGAGCGGATCTTGGTGTTCTCTTTGGGCGTGAACACCAACTTTGGGAGATATTGCTTCTCCGGATCAGGTATAATCCACCCTTTTCTTTTTGGTTCAGATCGGGTTCGATTATGGTTCAAGTAGGATCCTTGAATATTGTATTCTAAATTTAGGGAATACGAATCCCAGTTGGGAGAAGGTAGGAAAATTTTTGAAATTTGCCCACCCATTCTGCAATCTTTTTGGCGTCCATAAGATAGACCCTACCATTCTTTCCTCAATTATTGTTATTTTGGTTTAACTGTTTTCACAAATCCTAATGCTATCATTAATTAATATGGAGTACCCAGTTGATTAAAGATAAGTGTTGATCGAATGCAGGATTTGGTCGATTTAGGAAAACACAAGGTTTATTATGGCTATCCTAATAAATCTAAGGTTAAATGCTTGAATCGCAAGAATGCTGGAATTTACCTAGGATCGATGGCCAATCGATTCAACCCGAACCCTTGAACCAGAATTCGGTAAGACTGATTTTCTCTTGTTTGTTTAGTTTGCTATTGCTTTCTTATTCTTTTAATTTTAGTTATTAAATTTTCCCACTCAATTATATTATTCATTCGGCTAAGAGATTATTGTTTAGCTCCCTGTGGGATTCGACCTAGTACCACTTTTGCTACAAATATTTTATTGTGGGACTAGTATTAATTTTGAGGGCTTCGACAACCCGTCAAGGCTCTTGTTAAAAATAAGACTTGGGACCTCGTACCATATCAATCTTCGATGAATGTGGTCGGCTATAAGTGGGTATATAAGATCAAAAGGAAACTTGATGGATCTTTGGATTGCTATAAAGCCCGGCTAATTGCTTAGGGTTTCACTCAAATACCAGGTGTTGATTTTCCTGACACCTTTAGTCCTGTCGTTAAACCCACCACCATTTGTACTATTCTCTCTCTTGTGGTCTCCCATCAGTGGGTCATTTGACAATTGGACTTTGACAATGCCTTCCTAAATGGGCTTGTCCCTGAGAATATCTATATGCAACAGCCTAAGGGTTTTGAAGATGTTGATCACCCTACTCATGTGTGCAAACTATCCAAGGCACTCTATGGACTTCGACAGGCTCCCTAGGCTTGGTTCTCACACCTTAGCACTAAGCTTGTCGAATTGGGATTCCATACTACTCGTTGTGATGCCTCTCTTTTCATTTACTCTCATGGTGATCGTTGTATCTATTTGTTATTATATGTGGATGATGTTATACTCACTAGGACTTCCCTGACACTCATAAAATCCGTGGTGACCAGTCTGGGCCGAATGTTTTAGCTTAAGGATCTTAGTGACCTACATTATTTTTTAGCTATTGAAGCTCACCGAGATCACACTGGACTTTATCTTTGTTAGCATCGCTGTATCTTTGATCTACTTCATCGTGCTGGCCTTGATGGTGCAAAGCCTCTCTCCACTCCCATGGTGGCGACAACTAAACTCTCCAGGTTTCATGGCTCTCCTCTCTTTGATCCATCTCAGTATAGGAGTATTGTTGGAGGACTGCAGTATCTCACTCTCACTCGTCTTGACATCAGCTTTGATGTTAACAAGGCTTGCTAGTTTTTGCACAGTCCCACGGACGAACAATGGATAGCAGTCAAGCATATTCTTCGGTATCTTAAACATACCCTAGATCATGCTTTATTCTTCTCCTCCCAGTCTTCTACTCGCCTCATTGCCTTCTCCGATGCTGACTGGGCTGGATGCCCTAATGAACGCCGGTCTACTGGTGGCTATTGTATTTATCTCGGCTCTCACCTAGTGAACTGGAGTGCCAAGAAGCAGCAGACAGTTGCCAGGTCTAGTACAGAAGCTGAAATCAAATCCCTTGCAAATACTACTACTGAACTGTTTTGGTTACAATCCCTCTTAATGGATCTCGGAATCCGTCTCCCATTAGTTCCATCACTTTATTGTGATAATGTGGGAGTGTGTTTTCTTGCTGCTCATCTGATCTTTCATGCATAGACTCGCCATATAGAGGTCGATTTTCATTTTCTACGGGATCATCTCCTCAATAAATCTCTCCAACTTCATCATATTCAGTATCTGTGTCAGCTGGCTGACATTTTCACCAAACCATTATCTTCCCCGTGCTTCACATCCATAGTACACAAGCTGCATGTTTTCCCAATGCCCATTCGCTTGAGGGGGCGTATTGAGGATGACAATATTGCCACATCATCAAAAGATGACATGCCAATAGATATGCGATGAACTTGTGATAAGTTCATCACATATCTCTATCTGTTTTGTGATAGATCTCCACTAACTTGATAAACTCTATCAGATAGAGTTCAGTCTGGATAAACTCTATCTGATAGAGCTCAATGTAATATGATCTCCTAATTGAGTATTGTACATAAACTTTAACTCTTGTATCTATAAATATACAAGGATCGATTAGTTCCCCCATCGAACCATTCTCATTCAATACAAGTCTTTGCTTATTTCTTTAACTCCTATATGTACACATAATTATACAACACATATACACATAATGACAATTTTTTATTGGACTTGGATTGTAGTTGGAATTTTAGTCCACAGATAGCCATAGCAGGTAGGGCCCAAGAGTCCTTTATGCTTGAATTGAAAGTTATATACATATATATTTAGATAACAAATTTTATATTAATATATAGATCAAAATCTTTATATATTTTTTATAATAGATTAAAATTAAATAAAAAAATTTAATTTGTAAAAAAATAATAATTTTACAATTAACATGGACAAGCCTATCATTATCCCAAGCCCAGACAAATATTATTATGCTTGAGGTGTAAGTCGGGCTAGGCTAGGTAATGGGACTCAGTAGCTCATCCTCCATAGCTCCTTAGGCTTTAATGTTAACAATTTTCATCTAAAAATAGTTAAAAATCCAAAAATAAAGCATTAATGGGTTGTACTCATTTTGGTTCAGTCTAATTACTAGGAATGTCACATTTCTCTTAGGGGTGTAACTTAGGGAGTTGGATCAGGTTGAAGATCAACCAAAGCCCAACCTAAAGTTTGAAACCTCAAGCTTGAGCATTGATTAATTTAATTATGACTATAACCTAATTTTATATTTACTAATGTTTAAGTAATATTTACAAAAATTGTAACATTTAACGTTAATAAAGTAAAATAAATAAAATAGAGCACCAATACATAATATGGAAAAAATAATTATTTTATTAAATAATTAAGAATAATTTATTATTTTTGTTAAAATTTATTAGTATAATTAATCTAAATTACCAAATTACTAAATTACTACATTACTACATTATTTTTATAACAAATAACTAAAATAAAGATTAATTATTTTAAATAACACCAATACATAATATGTACATAAATTTTTTCAATTTTATTTTATTATACACCAAAATTTATATGGAATAAAATTCTAATATTTTTTTTTCAATTTCTTATTTATCTTATTAATTTATTTTAACTTTTTATTATTTTTTTCAAAATTTCTAAAAAAAATCATGTTGCCCCCTGCCTGGCCCTACATGGGCCCACTTGGGCTCATGGCACAATACAGTGATAGACCTCTAATCCAGCCCCTTTTTTACCCTAAGCGGCTAAAGTCTACATGACCTGTTCCTTCTCAGAATGTATGGTCAGATTACTCGGGTGCCTTCTCCCGCCTTGACCCTTTCTTACTCAAGACGTGCGACCAAGTTCATTCATTGGGGTTCTCAATCTCAGTTACTTACACCTCAACAAAGTATCGGAGACCAAATCAGCCCCCAACAATATTATCCTCCGCAACATCCCAGAGCACATTCTAGCCATGCATTGAGAACATCTCCCGATGATAATCTCAGAAATAATAACGTTATCATCGGAAAATGCTCTCAGAAATAATAACGTTACCGAACCCGGCTTACCAAAAATAAAATTCCCGTTTCAACTCATTTTACCCCATTAAAACACCCTCTGCGGCTCTGTCAAACCATCAAGAAGTCTGCAAAGCATCCATCAAAAGTTTGGAGTGTTAAGACGACTATCACACCATTGAAGCGTCTCGCCACCAACCAAAATACTGATATAAGCTATCAAGTATTTAGTGACTAAGTTATCAGGTTTGCCTGGAAAAGCGCTTCGTCATAACTAGCTTCGTTTTCGGTAATGCATAAAATGCATTTAATTTACTGCTTTACAGCTACGCCTAACCCTTAAGCATCACCCACTCAACCACTCTTTTATAAATGCTTTCTTCTTGCTAGGGACAGATCGAGCGAACGAGCTGGGGAGAGAGAGAGAGGAGCAATTAGAACTCCCAGCAGCGAGGTTAAACGTATGGATTTGGTGCACGAGGATGACCACAAGAGAACAGGTATCGCTTGAAGCCTTTAAAGAGAAGAATTTCATTCTATTTTATCTATTTTTCATTCTACAACCCGACTTTGGTCTTAGAATCTTCATGGTTGATGTCATTTTTTGATACAACTCGATAGAAACTGAAGCCATAACGGAGCATAATTTGAAATCAGCTATAGCGTTAAATTTTCAAGATCCAGCTACAGTCAGAGAAAACATCGCAGAGCAGACTAGGAAACGTAGTTCGTAAATACGTAGGGTGAAAAAATGTGTTTTTGTAATTAGACACTTTCGTGTATAGTTGAATAATCTTGAGCGGTGGTCGGTGGAGCCTGCTAATGCTACATGCCATGTATTGTGTTTTATATGGCCTGAAATGTCGGTTCCGGACACGTATACCCGATTGAGAGGCTGAAGCTTTGACTGATCTGCCGAAACGCTGCGGCTTCTGCTATTCCGAGGTAAGCCCACCCACACGGCCTATATGCCATGTTTGGTAAAAATATTCAGAGAACCCAATCCAAATCAGTGAAATCACCATTCAGTCGTTTGACTCGTTTTAAGGATTTGAATAGCTTATTTCAAGAGCTACAAAACCGCTGAACCAGCTTACCTGAATCTTCGGCTCAGCCTCCTCAAACGGAATGTCAAGCTTTGTCAGCTTTTGAGTAAATATGGCAAAAAACTCGGGCGCTAGACGAAACTTCACATGCTTATTGCTTCTGTAGGTTTTTCAGTTCTTGGTTTAATTCCAGCCCAAAGCTCATTTATCAAATGGCCAAAACTCAGACTTTTTTGCGGTAAAAAAATAGTAGGTCCGAGTAACAAAGACCCATTTTGCATTAAAAAAAGAGCAGGTATAATTAAGTGCGAAGACCCATTTTACATTAAAAAGAAAAACAGTAGGTCCGAGTAAGAACCATGACTCTTAGTAGGTTCGCATAAGGAGAATACCTTTTTTGTATTATTTTTATGATAAATCAGAAACCGGATCTGCTCTTCACATTGGGCGCCTCACACGCACATCCTATCATGCATTGGCAACTTCTCCCATACTTCTAAATTATTATTCTCGGAAGATGTTTCCAATGCACGGTGGATGTGCATGTAAAGCGCCCAAGTGTGAGGAGCAGATTCCGTTCCCATAAGTCGTTAAATCTCTTAAACTACTCCTGAGTAAGAATCAGAAGGAATACTCCTATTGTATTAAAAAACGAGTGGGTCGGCCGTCTGACGTAAGAGCAAAATACCTCTTTCGCAAGGCAGTGGGAAACACGAGAAAACTATTGCTTCATTTAGAAAACGGTACTAATTACGGTGGATGATAAGGTCACGCTTCCTTCTTTTGGAAAATTTAAGTACTTTTCAACTGAGTGGCTTTATCATCCACCATGAACACGACGGTTTCCTCTTTTATAAATTGAGCCAAAGCCAAATGGAATAAATGGATGATAGCTCCGGGACCCAATAGCGCGCTCATCCTAGTTCTTTTTTTTTTTTTTTTCTGAATAGTGCTACTCATATGAGTTGATTCCATCATTCTTTTACCAAGAAAAACAGAATTGATTCCATTATTGTTGACATCAAGCAATGAGGCATGGTCGTTAAAAGCGAATTCTGTTGAGTGAAATCTCCTACTTTTGCTTCTGCCTTGGATGGACTTTGTCCTCTTGCAGATCCCTCTTGCTCAGTTTGTTTGGGAGCAATGGAGCATGGTCATTAAGACAAAGAATAGCTTGGTACATTCACGCAGTCCAGCCCAAACAAGTTTGGAAATTCAAATTTAGAATAGGTTTAATATGACGCATGAAAAAAACATAAAAATGAAATTCTGCCTCACATGAGAAATCAACCCAGATGTTCAAATGATGGGTATTGATTTTGTTATGTAGTGGATTTTCAGAACCACTGTAAAGTCTAAAAGCTCGACATTATCCAAAAGACCATCTAGAAAAGTGAACTGGGCCAAGGTGATTGAACTTTTCCATGTTGACCCGGATAATTTTGCCCAGTTATAACATACAGATACTCAGATAGTCATCGAATTCAAAACTACATTTCGGAGTTCATGAATTGTGAAATAGAGTTTATAAACCAAGTTATCAAATTGGTTGATTTGTATTTGTTTTCTTGGTCCTTTGGGCAATATTTGGTGTAGGTACTGTGTGGACAGCTACTGTTCATGCTGTAACGGCTGTGATCGGATCAGGTGTACTAGCATTGCCATGGAGTGTTGCTCAAATCGGGTGGATTTTTGGGACGCTTGTGCTTGTTATCTTTGCAGTCATCACCTATTTCACTGCCATTCTTCTTTGTGACTGCTACAGATCTCCAGATCCAGTTAATGGAACGAGGAACCGCACGTACATGGATGTAGTACGAGCATGTCTGGGTAAGCAGTACAGATATGTAGTAATGTAAGTTAATATTCATACTGTAACAAGTTTGAGATTTCTTAGATTTCCATGTGGATATCTGTTGTTTCTTTCAGGCAAACGAGATGTATTTGTCTGTGGCATCGCTCAGCTCATCATTCTTTGGGGAACTATGATTGGGTACACTGTAACAGCTGCCACAAGTATAATGTGAGTGGTTAATCTATCTACCCTGACTATACTCATTAATTAAGAATCCGCTATTAGTGAAGTTTACTGGTATTTATATTCTATGGGCTCATTTTGTTGTTATAGTAGTAAAACATCATCAAATAAGTTTGTTCTAGGAGTGAATTGAAGAAGTTGACGAAAACCACAGAAAGTCTTGTAACCCTGTTTTGTTCATAGTTAAAATTGTTGACATAGATCAATTAAGTGGAAATAGAGATGAATAAAGACTTTATTAGCCTTTTCAGACCAGGTCGTGGCTCTGTTATGCCTAATGGCATATTGAGCAAGCTTGTGAGCTACTCGATCACAAGAATGAGATGTAAAATGAGTGGAGCATAGAGCAAGCTTGTGAGCAAGCCCAAAGACCACCTGTTTCTCGATTTCCAAATGTACCACATTATGATAGCCCCCTGAACAAAAATAGGAATGGGTATGGATGAACTAAATGTATTGTCCACCCTTCACCACTTTTCAAAATAATTTCTCAAACTCGCAGCAGTAAATTCCCTTTACCGCATTCCAATAGGTGAGGCCAACCAAATCGGTGCCATAACTGGATAGGAAAAGAATAGGTGTTCCATAGTTTCAAGCTTTTCAAAACAGAGTGGACGTTTGGAAATCACCAATTTTCATTATATCACCAACCAGGATTGCCTCCATAATGCACCTCCAAATGAACATTTTGATTCGACGAATAAGCATTTTAGGACCCCAAAACTTTTTCCACTTAGAAAAATTGCAAAGTAGCCCATGTTATAAAATTCACACTCATCTGTCAAGAGCTTGTGGGGTAAATTATGAACCCCAACACTTTTTCCCATGTGGGGTAAATTTCCAAATCAATTTATCCTCGCTTTCTTGCTCAATAGTAAGAAGCTGGACCTATCTGATTCTGTTGATGATTGAAAGATTAAAGATTTGTTCAAGGTCATCTGTCTTCCATGAACTTGAGTTGTGATCAATAATGAGAGCAACCTTACTACAAGAGTTGGACTAGGAGAGAGGTTTTTCTATGGGCTCCCTGTCCACCCTTGGGTCATCAAAAATATCCACCTCCCAACCATTTAAAATCAGCCATTTACAACCATTTAGGAGTTTAGAACGACCACTTATTATGCTTCGCCAAACAAGGAAAGCAATTTTTCTGATGTTGTGTTTCCAAAAGGAAACTCCGCAAAGGTACTTTTGCTTCAGGACTCGAGCCTAGATGGAATTTGGTTCAATAAGAAACCACCACGCTAACTTTTGGAGAAGATCTTTGTTCATCAAGGAAAGTTTTCTTAGTCCAAGTCTTCCCTTATCTTGTAGACGTAAGAACGTGTGCCAGACCTTCAAATATATTGAACGTTGATTTTCCCCACCAGAAATCTCGACAGATGTTGTCCATTACTTTGCAATCAGCTTTAGGTATCGTTGTTGTGGCCATGTAGAACAAGGGGATAGCTTGAAGGGTAGACGTAATGAGAGTAGTCTTGCCAGATTGTGAGAGGACTCCAGCTTTCCAGTTTTTTAACTTGGACTTGAATTTATCAATTAAAAATTCCAAGATGACGCATTGTTGGAGTTTACAAGAAGGTGACTATCATGATAGATCTCGTCCTTTTTCATCTCAATAATTCCCAATTCTTGCTTAATGGCATCTCTAGTCAAGGATGGAACATTTTTACTAAAGTGGATGGATGATTTACTGAAGTTAACTTGTTGGCCTGACTACCTACAAAAGAGATCAAACATTTCTTTGATTTTCTTTACTTCATGGTGGTCAGCTTCTCCAAAGAGAAAAATATCGTATGCAAAAAGTAGATGGTTCATTCTTTCATGATAGTTACACAACTTAACTCCTTTAAGCACACCATTTAACACTACTTGTGACAAGAGTCTAGACAGGATCTCAATATAACTAATGAAGAGGTAAGGAGAAAGGAGACAACCTTGTCTTAACCCTCTTTGTGGTGAAAAATCATGACTACATTCTCTGTTTATGATGATTGTCATGCTAGGAGAGGCAATACAAGCTTTGATCAAGGAACAGAAAGAATAAAAAAAAAACCTAGAAGTTGCAAGCAGTAAGGAATTACTAATTTACTCTATTGTAGGCCTTTGCAAGACCAAATTTTAAAAGAAAAGAACCCTTTCCTTCTTTAGATTTATTCATGGAGTGAACTATTTCCTTTGCAAGCACAATATGTTAACTTTTCAAAACAAAAGAACCTTACCTTTCTTGTTATTAGCTCTAATTTATAATGTCTTTTTTTTATAACAGGTTCAATTTATAATGTTGAGAGTGAGGTTCATTATTTAAAAATCTCCATGCATGACAATGGTTTTTAATAAATTTTGTAATACTTTGGTTTCACTTAAGGTAAACAAAATCAGAACTACTAAATATGTGGCTTAAAAATATTAAAAGAAATTTTGAGAATATTCTGAATTTCATTATATTTGGATAAAATCCTTGGTTGGAATTAATAATATAAAATATACAGCATGCAATATGTTTATTTAAATCTTTTAAATAACTAATAATTAAACACTTGCGTTGCACATGAGAAAAGTTTCTTCATATTAATTAATTGAATTTTAGATATATCATAGTTAAGATAGAAATTGAGAATTAACAAAAGTAACAATGTGATTAAAGTTAAACTTAAGTATTTATTATTCAATTATGACATTATGGGTTTTAATGAAAGGTTAGATCACTAACCACCATCTAGATAAGAAAATAGCTTTGCTTTTGGATTAGTTTTAAATTAGGGAAATTTATAGTTGAAGCTAGTTGTACATTTAAAATTAGAATACAAGTTGTTCCATAAACCAACAAAACTCTCACAAGAAGTCCCATGTTAGTAACAGCCACATAAGCCCTTGATGACATGGCGGGGGTTTTTAATTTGAAATGTAGAGCTGGTTGTGAGAGTTTTGTTGATTTCTGGACCAACCTGCAACCTACTTTTAAATGTACAACCAACTTTGACTATAATTTTCCCTTTAAATTATATATTTCATTTACATAATATAAAATATGTTTTACTTATTACACTTAATTTTGGTTTGTCTATGGTATCATTTGAATCAAACCACTAACCCACCATCTAAAAATAAAAATTGTTTGATTTCTAAGTTACATTAAATTTTGTATTACATTTCCATCATTAATAAAATTATTTCTTATGTATAAAACTTATTTTTGTTCAACATAATGAATGCACAATATTAGAGACATACCTAATATTTTATTTTTTATAAATATATAACATTAGATATGTGCCCAAAGTTTTCACTATCATTTTTTTTTTATTTTTGTGATTCTTTGTATTTTCAATTATTAAAAACTTTATTATCTGACTATGACATCATTTCATTTCTAGGTAGATTTTGAATTTGGCATTCCATTTTCATCATTAATAAAGATACTTCTTACATTTCATAGCTATTTATTTTAATTTTTATTATTTAATTATGTCACTATTTATTAATCAATTTGACCCCAAATGGTCGAATTGCTTACCCACCACCAATAGGAAGGAAGAAAATGATATTGTTTTCAAATTACATTTCAAAATATTTATTTTTATATTATTAAAATTAATACTGTGGATTTAATTACAAGAATTTAATGATGAGAAAAATATATCTTAAATATAGGATTTAATTAGAGAAAATAAGAAAATATTTTTATTTCCAATTGGTTTTAAATTTTACATTCCATTTCCATCATTAATAAAAACATTTCTTATTTATCATACTTATTATTGTTTAATATTTATGTTAAAATTGTTTCCATTTCTTTTTAATTTTTAATTTTTTAATTTTATCTATTTTTTAATTTATTATTTAATCAGGGCAACATGGATTAACCCATTTAACCCAAAATGATTTAATTTCTTACCACCACCTAGATGAAAACACTATTTTTGCTAGGTAGATTTTAAAATTATAAGCTTTTATGTTATAAGAATTATTAATTTATTAAGTATGGATTTAATTAATAGAACTTAATGATGGGAAGAAACAAAGAATGACTTGAATATATGATTCAATGAACATGAATGCAAGTTAATAAGTTAAATGTTGGATTTAATGAGAGAGAATTGAATGCATTGAATATCTTTAAATTACCTCTTTTCGACTCATTTAATATCAAGAACGGATTACCCTATTTGCCCTCATTTTTTATCATTAAATTTAAATATAGAAGGGTAAATTTTGTCCATAGAAAATTCCAAAAATATTCTTGAGGCCATTTGTGCTTTTTAAAGTAGTATAGATTTTAAGTGTGATGAAAATAATTATTTTGTTAAAGTAGGCTTTTTGTAACTAAATCCTTTTGAAAGAATTTGTTGTAATGCGTGCTCTTGTTTTCCCTGTGATTTTTAATGATGCCAAAGAAAGGAAATGAGGGAGAAGAAGGTAATTAAACTTTCTATGCAACAATTTGGTTGACTTTTAATATCTCAAGATATGTCTATTAACAACTTTGCTCTCCCTGTATATCTGCACTTCTTCTCAATATGAGGAGTGAGGGAGATGCTATATTTTTCTTGGTTTAGGGTTTGAGTAATTTTTTTTCCCCTTCCTCTGAGGGGAGGGGAGGGAGAGGGTAGAGTTATTAGATTGTCGTTAAAAAAGCACCTTTGGCCACAATCCTATGAGTACAACATGTCAAAACTGGTCACGTAGCTCTCAACAAGAGGATGTCAGGCTCTCTTGGTGATAGTTTGTTGACGGTTTAATCTTTCAATTCTTCAATTGTTTTCTAGTAAGTGTATTTGCAACTCTTATATTTAATATTCTTGTGTTCTTTTCAAATAAAAACTTCAAACAATTAAATAATTGAAATGAACGTTTTACTAACTTTGGTTGTTTGGGGCATGACAAAATTTTCATCCTTCCCACTATATATATATATATGCCATGTCAACATGGCTCTCCTTTTTCCCCCACCATTTATCTATTTTCTATTTTTTCTGATTTTTTTTAAATTAAACAAAATTACTCAAGTAGCCATTCAATTTTAAGTCTTTAAGACTTACATCTCTCCTCATTAACTCTCTTCTCTTTTTCATTAACACCTTTCATTGTCTCCCCTCATTAATCATTCCATTAACTTTCTCTCTCCTCTCAAATGCTCTATTAAATTGCCAAAAATTCATTTACTCTTTTCCCTTTTATTTTTTCTTTTTATTTTTCTTTTAGTATCTCTCCTCTCCTCACTAATTTAATAAACCAAAAGCAATTTACTTAAAGGTGATCATTTCAGTCCGACTCGGGCCCAAGCCCGCATAAGGCTCTCAAGGCCCAAGCTTAGTTCTAATACTTCAAGGCTGGCACAGGCCTAGCCTAACCTATAAACAAATAACAACTTAAAATTGGTTTAAAAAAGTTACCATAAATAATTAAATCACCTAAAAATAGAGACCATGAGAGAGAGAGAGAGAGAAAATTCTAAGACATAGGTTCCATCCCTTCCATCATTAACCTATTTTAACATATTTCTATAAGTCTCTTCCATTATTAGCCTATTGTATTCCATTTATTTGTTTCATACTCAAACTCTATTTAATTGATTATTTGTCAAAAATTTATAATTTGAATCCTATAAAAAATCACTAAAGATTATAAAATATTAAAATTTAGCAAGTTTCATCTAGCAACTTTTAAAAATTAACAAATTAATAAAAATTAGTAGTTCTTAAATTAAAAATTAAAATACATTTATTTCTATTTAAAATTAACTAATATCATCAAGACATTTAAAATTAGTAAGAACAACTAAAAAATATTAAAAACAATGAAATAAACCATTAGAGTTCAATATAAAATATTTTTAAAAATAATTAAAATAATAAAACCAATAATGACTCAATTAGAATTGTTACAAAACTCCTACTTAGAAATGATCATTTATAACTTAGGCCAACATAGCTAGACCTAAAGCAACTATTTTCTTCTAAGCTAGGCCTTGGTGGGATGTACACCAAGTGCACACATAATGTTGGCATTAGGGCTGTAAATGGATTAGATTCCATTCAGTCTAATTGCATCCACATTCAATTATGAAATCTCCAGATCTGTGTCTACATCAAATTATTCTGTTGGATTTTAGATTGAATTTGGATTTAATCCATAACCGTCTTATTGTGTTTAAAAAAGATGGAAAATAATAATATAGGATGGGACTGGTTGGGCCATGCAGCCTTAAAAACTGTTAATACACAATCAAAGGCTGGTCCAAGGTCTGTTATTTTTCAATTCATTGGGATGCACAATGGGGGTAGCCCATCCCTCCATAGTTATTTTGGCTTCAATATTATTAATTCTTATCTAAAAATAGTTGAAAACCCAAAAATAATGCATTCACAGGTTGCACCCAATTTGGCTTAGTCCAATTATGAATGTCACATTGCTCTTAAGGGTGCAACTTGGGCAGATTGGATCAGGTTGAGAATCAATCCAAGCCCAACATGAAGTCTTAAACCTTAAGCTTGGCTTACATAATTATTTTACTAATTCATTAGCAATAATTTATTATTTTTGTTAAAAATTATTAATATAATCAATCCAAATTACTAAATTGTTTTTGTAACAAATTATTAAAATAAAGATTAATTATTTTAAACAGCATTGCATTCCTTCCTTATAATGGTTATTGGTTTTAGTTGTTTCATTTTCCCTTGACAAATCCAGTGGATTGTACGGTCCTCTACCTCTAGTAAGCATATATATAATGCAACTTAAGATGTTCAAACTATACTTTCAATTCTTCATTTAGTAGTCCATTAATGAACTGCATATTCTCTGACCTATTATTACAATGCTTTTTCTACTCCAATGAATGTGATAGGGCCACGAAACGATCAAACTGTTTCCATGAGAAAGGGCATGATGCGAAGTGTGAAACATCAGGAAATTCATATTTGATCATATTTGGGGGAATAGAAATCATATTGTCTCAACTCCCAAGCTTGGAGAAAGTAACACTGCTTTCAGTGATGGCGGCTCTTATGTCCTTAGCTTACTTGTTCATCTCAATGTACTTGTGTATGGTAAAATTTGCTTCCAAGCCCAAGTTTAGAGGGAGTTTAACAGGAGTTAAGATAGGATCTAAGGGCATCACTCCAGCCACAAAGGTTTGGCATTCTTTCCAAGCTCTAGGGAATATTGCTTTCGCCTATACCTTTTCCATGCTTTTGGTTGAAATCCAGGTACGAGGCTTTATAATAGAAAACACTCTTTGTTTTTTTCCTAAGCAAGGTTTTTTGTAAGCAATCCATGTAATACATTCTTTCACTTTATGAAGGACACGCTGAAATCTCCTCCGCCAGAGAATAAAACAATGAAGAAAGCCAGTCTATATGGTCTTGGAATAACAACATTCTTTTATGTGTCTCTGGGTTGTCTGGGGTATGTTGCATTTGGAAATGATGCCCCTGGAAATGTTCTTACTGGATTCTATGAACCATTCTGGCTTGTCGACATTGGGAACATTGCTGTCCTCGTACACTTGATTGGAGCTTATCAGGTACAATTATTCCATGCATTGGATCAATTGGTTTTATTGTCTAGTTGATAGCTGACTCAAAGTCTTCAAACTTTCAATCTACTAGGCCTGCCGCTTGATGAATTGGCATACTCACTTGGGAAAATTCTGATTATTTTACAAAATTTATGAACCTTTTATGTTTTTATATATTTTATTTAATTAGTGTACAAGGCTTTTGGAGGCACTTGGAATTATATGATTTTGTTGGAAATTTTCTTAAATTTTGAAGTTATAAAACCAATTTCTAAAACTGATTTATTAGATGGATGTTAATAAAAACTAAAATTAATTTAAAAAAAACAAATTATTTTATAATTTAGGGAATGTTTATAGGTCTATAGTGGAATTCAGAAATCTGCAATGAGCCTGTCTGTACTTTTCCGTATAATTTAATTAACACTATGTGAAAAAAAAATACTTTACATGGTGATGTTAAAGCATTAATTGAAACGAGAGAGATGACTATTATGAAATAATGATTTCACTTTAGAACTCTCTCATTATATCATTTTGTTGGAACTTTTCTTATTTTTTTAAGTTATAAAGTCAATTTCTAAAACTGATTCATTAGATGGATGTTAATAAAAACTAAAATTAATTTTAGAAAATAAATTAATCTCTAAGTTATTGACACTATGTGATGAAATCACTTTACATGATGTTAAAGCATTAATTCAAACGAGAGAAATGACTATAATGTAATAATGTTTTCACTTTAAACTTCCGAGATCATATCTGCTCCTCAGAGCGTGCCTCACACCAACCTCACAGGGCATCGTAGGCATGCATTGAGAATATCTCTTGTACATGATGTTATCAAACATGGGAAGATGTTCCCAATGCACTGCTGCGATGCACTGTGAGGATGGTGTGAGGCATGCTCTGTGAGGAGCAGATCTGAACTCAGGACTTCCAGATATCCATTGGTGAATCTAAGGTTAAAAAATTTTATTTCAGATATTACTGAGAAATTCAACAGGGAAACTAGTAGATTTATCTTATGGATCCCATCTATCCTTTTCTTTCTTTCTTGTCAAGTTGGCATCATCGAACTTCAAGTTGACACAAGTGAGAAACCTAGAAAGCTAGCTAATTGACTGAAATGAAGCTTTGGAAGCAATATCTGATCTTAGGAGAAAAAAACAGTGAGAAACCTATTATGAATCATTCTTGCTTAGCTCTCTCCAACGTATGAATTAAGTTGATGTTACATGTTCTTAGAAAAGTTTTAGCATCTCCTATTTTTAACTCGTGAGGGTAGATTTCATGATGAGCTTTCTCTTATCCGGTATCTCATCTTAGGTATATTCACAACCTATCTTCCATTTATATGAGCAATGGCTGGCTTCAAAATATCCTTCAGCTGGATTCTTCCACAATGTGCATACAATACGAGTACCCTTTACAAAGGCCCGTAGGATAAAGTTTACACAATGCAAGATTCTTCTTCGGACATTGTTCTGTGGCTTTACAACCTTTGTGGCTATGGTATTTCCATTCTTCAATGCAATTTTGGGATTGCTTGGTTCGGTTGCCTTTTGGCCGTTGACAGTGTACTTTCCCATATCCATGTATATGCAACAAGCAAAGGTCAAGAGAGGAAGTTACAAATGGGTGCTTTTGCAGAGCTTGAGCATGTTTTCTCTGCTTGTTTCACTTGTTGCTGCTGTTGGTTCAGTTGCAGGTATGGTTGATCAATTGAGGCATGTTGAACTGTTTAGCATTAGAATCTAGATGTCATCTTCTTTGTTCTCCAGCACTGATCTGATCCACATGTCTAACGTACCTTAAATTGAGCAATACTTTCATTCAATTAGTTCTAGTAGTGAGAAATGATTTTGAGGGTCCATAATTTAACAATGGCAGTGAAATGGGATTCATGTAGTTGGGACATGACTTTGTTGAGTTGAGTTGAATATCAAATGAATAACAATTCTAAATGTTGTCAATGGTGTGCATAAAAATTATTTTTTTATTATTTTACAGGATATAGATTTAACTCTCACGTTACCTTTTATTTTGCGGCCAAGCTGCAGAAAATCCTTTAGGCATTCCAATATGAATATGAAGACAACCCCAAACATAAAGTGTTTTTCTTTTTTTCTTTTTTTACATAGACATCATATTTATTTCAATTTTGCCAAAAAATAATTTATTGATTGGCTTATTTGATAACCATTTAGCACTATTATATATTGATGGTTTCCCAAAAACACATCACCTTGGATTAGATAGCAATCTCCCATTTATAGGTTCTAGATATCAATATTGCATATGTTATTGGTATGGATGTGTATCGTGATACACTTTGGATATTCATGCGGAAACATCAAAAAAATTCTTGCAAATCCTTCAAATACCTATATCTAAAGGCATGGATGCACTGTAGACATCACATCACTTGTGACGCATGATCTACCGTGAGGTTGCACAAGCAGCTAGTGCATGAGAAATAACGGTGTGGCAAGACATTAATGTGGCAACATTGAGTTTCCAACAAAATTGTTTCCCGTAAATATGCTATGTCATCCTCTCATATTTGGGACAGGATCTAGTAGGCACAACACAAGTAAGCATGATAAATATTTTGATAACTGTCAAAAGTTGGTTTTAATCTTTTTTAAGGGTGGATTGAATGTATTTTAAGGGACAGGTGTCAAAAAAAAATTATAAGTGCTTATTAAACGTGCTTACAATGTTCTGCCTGCCTACCTGATCCGAATTACTCAGATTTCGTCACAAAAGAACCTTGTGATGGAGCATTATGTTACATCCTCCCATTGCATACTCTTGGCATGTTCCCCATCACAAGTTGATCGTAATTCTATTAGGTCTTGATGCACCCCCATTGATCGCATTATCATGGCCTTACCTTGCATGCACACACCTCATAACATTACATTTTGCTCTCACCTTGCTGACATGCTTCACAAATCAATGGTTTTAATATACTCACAGTTGTATATGTGAGTATATTATATAGTTATATCCAAGGTTTTTTAAAACCAGACCGGATAGGGAATCGTTCTGGAGACCGGTTCCCGTGTCAAATGGTCCGACCATTCGGACCAAATGGATCATCTGTTTTGACAAAAAAAAGACAATAATTAAAAAGGGGCCAAAAATCATTACCAAAGTCGATGGTTCGACTGCCCAGGTCAGCAGTTCACTGACCAAATCAACTATTTTTGGCCAAAAAGCTGTTTTGGGGTGAAATAAAACCAATTAGGTGACTTGTTCTCGGTTTTTCTGGTTCAACCATCCAATATGGTTTTGAAAGCACTAGTTATATCAAGAATCAAAGTTTGCATTCATTGATGTAAACCCACCCACAACAATTTCATAAGGAAAATTGAGTTAAGTGGGTGACGTGGATTATGGATAAAAGGTTGATCGCTAGACTTCTAAGCAAAGTTTTTAAAATCAGATCAGACAAGGAACTGTTATGTGAACCGATTCTCGGGTTGAATGGTCCAACCACTCAGACTGAACGGACCATCTATTTTGAAAAAAAATATATATAAAAAATTAAAAACCGACAAAAAACCATTTTCTGAGTCGATGGTTCAACGGTTTGACTTCCCAGGTCAGCAGTTCACTAACAAATCAATGGTTTTTGGCCAAAAAGCGGTTTGGGGGTGAAATGGAACTGATCAAGTGACTGGTTCTCAGTTTTTCCAGTCTGACCATCTTGTTTGGTCCAGTTTTGAAAACACTGCTTCTGAGGTGAGTGGACCCAACTCAGATGCGGTAAACAAGTTATTGTCCCAATTTCCAATATATTTGTGCATCAGGGCTGATCATATCCTGTCCAAATTTGGTAGGAAAAGAAATCCATATTATCATATCAGGTTTGGTTTCATTTCAAAATATGAACTTTCGTAGATGATCGAAATCCAAAATATGAGTACAAGCAAGGTCAGATCTTGGATTGTACTGTTCTGTTTAAGGGTGTCAATGGACCAGTTTTGGATTGGATCCCGTCCAATCCAAAATCAATTTGGATGGATTGGATAGACCAATATGACATATTGGATTGGATCAATCTATCTAGTCCAAAATATTTATTAGATTGGATTGGACCTGGTCTATCTGTAACAAATTTATATTGGATTGGGTTGGATTAAGTCAATATCTGGTCCATTGATATAAGATAAGAATATGTGTCAATGGACCGGGTTTGGGTTGAAACCAATCTAAATCAGAATGAATCTGAACAAATTGGATGGCCCAGACATTGAATTGGACCAGTCCAAATTGGTCCAAAACATTCATTGGATTGGATTGGACCTGATCCATTTATAATGGACTCACATTGGACTAGATCGGATTGGACCAAATCCAATCCAATTGACACCCCTAAATTTTTGTTTCATCAAGTCGCGTTGAGAACCGAGAAGGGAAGAACACAAAGTCTCGAACATGCTTAATTCTTATTGTGGAAGTCTTTGTAAAATGCGCCTTCTTCAATACAGTACATATGGCATCATCTCTCTGCCTATGTGAGACTGTCGGTTGGAAGTTTCAAATGAAATGAACCAACGGACTTTCGAATTAATCCAACTTCAATCCATTCTATACATGGACGATTTATGGTATGGACTAGTCCGAGTCCACATCGTCTTTAGGACTGTCCAATCCATCCATACCACTTTCGATTTGGGCGGTGTCCAACCCGAAACCAGTCCATTGACACCCCTACCAAGGAGCCTCTCTTTACTTCCATCTATCATCCTTCAGGTAGATCTCCTTAGTGCCTCCTACATTGAACTTAAATTTGGAATATCTAGTTCTTTTTTGAACATGGAGATGGCACTAAGAAGTTTGAAGACCATTGAAATCAACCTCATTCCCCTCCCCCTAAAGAGTTAATAGAGGACCACCCACAACCAACCATACATAAATCAAAAGTTTGAGTTTAAAGGTGGTAAAGAATTGAAGATTTTGGATGACAAGTTCTATGATCTCATCGATTAGATTATGGGAGTTGAGAGTCGCCTAACATAACATCACTGTCAATCTTCAAAAGGTGGATTGGATCAACTACTTCGACAGGTATATGAAGATCAAAGAGATGCTTCAGTAACTACTCCAATGTCCTCAGAAGTAGTCTCTGTTAAACAGTGTATGCCCTTAGCTCCAATCAAATTGATGTACAGATACATTTATTGTAAATGAATAATAGTACATAATTGTTTCATGTTATGATTGGTGTCTTTTTGTGTATTTATTTACCTATTAAACTGGACACTTATGAGACTCGTGTTAGTTTATCATGTTCTCAGCCGTTGGATAGACTTGGAGAGTTTATACTGCCAAGGCCGACATTGATGTTCTGCCAAAGAAGTTGGAGTAGCTTGTCTCAGTTGCTAGGGTTAGACTCGAAGCACATGTAATGTGTGTTTGTTTGAAGCACAGAACCTGGACCATTTTCTAGTTATATCCTAGACCTTGGAGACTAATGGGAAAAACTAGAAAGTTACACATAACCACTGGACTTGATTATGGTACTATATTGGGTGTCGAATCGGGCTATCTTTGATATGCCAATTAGTGAGATCCTTTGGGGTCAAAACCTATGTATGTTGGGGCAGTCTGAGAATTCACTTTAGTGGGTGATCATAGTGATAGGATCAGCACCTTTGTCGGACAAAGTGAATAATTGGGACTGCACTCTCTTTGATGGAAACCGAAACTGCCGACAGTCGATTTCAACCGTGTTTGAGATTTGTTTTGCAAAATATATTTATATGATATATATATTATGTTTTAAGAAAAAGGGTTTTCAAAAGGTTTTAAATCCTGAGACCCATCCGAGCAAAGAGTGCAACACTAACCTTACAGTCAGGGGAGAGGCCCTTCCCTGTCAGGTAGTATTTGTTCATTATGGGCTGAGAGGTTAAGTGTAAGAGACCATTAAGTGTTGTTTACCTGATGGGCTATATCTTACTTAAGTCCATTGTCCTTGGGCCTTCATAGGATGGCTGGACTCAAGCATCATTTAACTGTAAATGTTGGGCCCATTAAGAGTCCATACTGATGGACATAGGGGTTCAATGTACTTGATAGTGAATTTGGCTAGGCCTTTTCTCAAAGGTTGGGCTGAAACCATGTGGGCTTATGTAAGGTCATTGTTGGGGTCCCACACCATACAAAGTGAACCTAAATGGGCCAGCTGAAGGGAAGGGATGGGAGATCCATCATATGGATGGTCAAACCCTGTAGGAAGGTTGAGCAAAATTTCAAAATTTTCTTTACTTCCATCCGAGAATCGTATTTTAAATTTAGAAAACTGCATTTTCAAGGTTTGTTCTTGTAACCAAACCGAACTAAATCTGAAAGCGAGATTAGGGAGAGGTATACCTGATACAGAATCCACGCAAAAATGCTCCTCCCAACACAAGTGTTCATGCCCAAAGAGTATACCAAATCCTCCCTCTACTGAAGATAACACAGCTTAGGATGAGGTAGGGTCAGCAGGTAGTTCTTCACCAAGAACTTGTGATTCTTCAGCAAGAATCGAATCAGGTAGTGATCACAACTTATGAATTGTTTCTTCTGACAAGAAACAATATCAAGATCCAATCTTGATCAGTTCCAACAAATGGATATCGAACAAGGTAGGGCGGCAAGAGTAGGAAGAGAAAGAACTGAAGGCGAAACATTCAAACAGTGTTCTCTATTGTTATTTTCAGGTCCTCCCTGCTCTCTATATATAGCCTTAAAGAGATGATCTCTTAATCTAATTAGGAGTTTCTTGATCTAAATCTTTATTTGGACCTGAACTCTTTAAGTGATAAGGATAATCCCTTATCTATCTTCATATCAAGATCAGCTACTCCTAATCTAATTAGAAGTTTCCTGATCCAAATCTCTATTTGGATCTGGACTCTTTAAGTGGATAAGATTTATCCTCTTATCCTTATCTGTTGATCCATACTCAGATTCC